CACACACACTCCTCCCCTCCCCTCCTCTCTCTCTCTCTCTCTCTCTCTCTCTCCCTTTCACACAGTCATCACCCTCTCTCCTCCGAGATTTATTCTGTTGTGATATCGTCCTCGTCCCTTTCCTTGAGAACCGCTCCCCCTCCGCTTCCAAACCTCTCCTTCTTCTCCGCCTGCTTTCCGTTCATGGGCTCGCTTTGCTGCCCGCCACCCCACCATCCGCCCCGCCCTACGACCCTGCCGACCGATCCGATCGTTGCCAAGAATCGCCGCACCAACAACCATCACAGCAACAACAACCAAAATATCCTCCTCCTCCTCTTCCTCCTCTTCCTCGTCCTCCGGGTGGTGGGTGCGTGTGCCACCTTCATCGCCACACCCCTCGATCCTATCATGACCTCCGCCACCACATCCAATACAACTGCCACCAACACCAGCGCCAGCAGCAGCAGCAACAATAAGAGCTCCTCCTCCCAGCCCGCCGCTAACTCCGCCTGCGCAGCCTGCAAATACCAGCGCCGCAAGTGCAAACCCGACTGCCTCCTCGCTCCTTACTTCCCCGCCAACCAGCAGCAGAAGTTCCTCAACGCTCACCGTCTCTTCGGCGTCAGTAACATCGTCAAGATAATACGCGACCTCGACCCCTTCCAGCGCAACGAGGCCATGAGCACCATCATCTACCAGTCCGACATGCGCGCCCACGATCCCGTCGGCGGCTGCTACAGATACATCCGTGATCTCGAGCGCCAGATCGATCACGACTCTACAGAACTCGCGTTCGTGCTTAGACAGCTTGCACTCTGTCGTGCGCACACAGCTCAGACCATTACACCAGGAATTCCTACCCTCGCACCTGATCTGGATGTAAACCCTAATTTGCTTCTCAATACACCCACCGATGACACCGAGAATGTGATATATGATGCCAACCTTTTCCCTTCAATGAATCAGCCGCAAGACCAGCAGCAGTACTACAATTACCTCTGCTATGACAGTGGCATTTCTAGAGATCCAAACAACGATCCGAATGCCAGTAGTAACAGCAACAGTGTTAACAACAATGTTTTGAGTCTACAGCAGCAACATCATCACCATCATCATCATCATCCACAATCAGTGGTGCAGGATGAGGATGTTAAGCCTCTGGTAGATATGTTTGAGATTAGGCAGACATTGATAGGAGGGGATGATGAGGGAGATTCTAGAATCAATACGACTAACGAGGTCGGGCCTCTGCATTGCAGGTAAAGATTATGGTCCTAGTTTTGTTTTTATCCATGAATCTTTATGTTTTCGAATGAAGTGATGAAGGAACATTTAGATAAATTCTTAATTAGGGAGTGTTATTTCAATTCAAAGCTTTATTCCAATTCAAAGCACTAGATAAATACCGGAACTATATGTTTTAATTAAGAATGGTATTTTATATTAATCATATGGTCTTCTTGAGTCACTCTTGTTTATCTCCTCTCCCCTAAGTCATGCCAATTTTCTTTTGCACTTTTATTTGATTTCTTAACAGTAATTGAAAACTATTACTATTTTTATTCAAACGTATCAGCATTTCAGGAATTTTGTAGTTTGCTTGTTATATACTGTGATAATTGTCATTGTTGTGGCAAATAAGGAGTGCTTTCAATAAGAACTGTGGTGAGTGTGGCTTGTCAGTAGCCCATTTTCACCCTTTGCCCTTTTGTCCTATTGTGTTCACAAATTTTTAGGTGTTCGTTCAAATGTTCTTCATGTAAAGTTTAAGAAGTGACTTTATTGCACTCGGTTGTTTCACTGATCATCACAACAAAAAATCCATTTATGGTTTTTGCCCTCTCTGAAAAGAATCATTACTTGATGCTATGAGCATCTAAACCTCCATAGCCTTCTTTTTATGTCCCAAGCTGATGTGCAGCATATGCTATCTTGTGACTGCTCTGATTTTAATACGGAAACATTCATTTGATTTCACAGCACAAATTTGGAGCTTAGAGATGAGACTAATCAAGTGGAACACACGCAGGAACATGATTTGAAAGGTGCTGCATCCTTGTTTACCCTAACCAATTGTACTTCCTCAGGTTCATAATTCCCTTTTCTTGCTTATTTATCCTTTTTGTTTGATTTTTTATTTTACATAAAATTCGACGATAGCCCTTTTTTATTTTGTAATTTTGCTGTTATGTTCTCGGCGGACATAGAATTAATTGAAAGGATGTGTGACAGGACGTACAAGCCATAACCTGTATACGGAGGTGTTTTTGTCTGAGAAATTCACTCTTTGATTGAAGATGATAGCTTTCATGTTCCCTTTTTTCTCTCTATGGAACTACTTACCATATGGATATTAGTGATTGGGATTTTGTTCCTCATTGTGCAAAGTTTTATGTTGACCATTTTTGTTTTCTTTACAACATGTTCGGCTTGGTAAGGTTCTTGTAGCCATCAGTAAAACTAATTGAAACTCACTGATTTTTCTGGGCTTTTCTTGTGCTATTTGAAACCTTAATAACATTTAGGGGCAAGACTTCCAAGGATGAATTATTGTTTGTACTATGGATGGACTCATTTGTTTCGAAGAAACAAGTTTAGTGAACTGCTTGCATTGAACAGGATCAAGAATATGTGCATAATATTGAGCAAATACATATTAAAATGCAATTGCTCAAAAACAGCAAATCTATTGCTCTTATTTGTCTCTGTGCACTTGAAGCATTCTGTTTACACACACACCTTGGGTTGTCCATCACCAAATATGATTGGGTCCTTTGCACTAGAAATGATCAAAGCGATCAGGAGAAAATTCACATTAATGCATTGCTACTAAGTGGGAATTACAATTTCTGATGCTGTTTAAATTTAATCTGATCAAATGAGTGTGCTTTTACAGGTGGTACAAGATTTCTCCATTTTATGATGCATTTTTGTCGAAAAGTACTATCAATGGTCAATTTTCATTAGGATCAAATGATGATGTTCATCATATTGCCCATCCTTGTGTGCCAATGGATACTTTAAAAAAAAACAAAAACAAAAACAAAGTGTTTGAACTATAAATATCAAAATTGGATTAGATATCGATCAAGTGTTTTTTAAACTCGACAGGCCGTGGAAACTATCAAGCTGGAGTGTGCTCGCTCGATGGATGGATCTTGCAGTCAAGTTTCTGCCTTTGCAGGCTCACTAGATCACCATTTGATCTAATGGTTAATAGGTAAGTTTATTATTTTTAAAATAAAATATAATTTTAATATATATATATATATATATATATATATTATTTATATATTATATTTATATAATATACAAATAATATTAGACAAATAAATTATATATATATTTATTAAATAAGAGGATGATAATGGGAAAATATGATATATGTCGAGGGGATGAAAAAGTAATAAAATAATAAAATTTTCTTTCATCTTTATGATAAAGAAAGATAATTATTTTTTAAAAAAATGCCAGCATCTTTGATGATGAATAAAGAATTAAAAATTTTTTAATCGTTCTAACAATCTAATTAATGAACCGAACAAAAATTGTTTTGATTCCTGATTTTTCCTATCTGATCACGTATTCGTGTTGGTTTATATAACTATGGTATGAGTGTAACATTTTGGTCAATTTGGTTTAGTGTGTTAAAATGAGTACATTAAGTTGTCGTAGCTCGAGCTAAATGTAACCCTTATTTTTATTATTTATCTTTCATGTGACACCAATCATGCAATAATTGGATTTTAGTGATCGAAGTCTACACGAATCTAAAGATCCCGTCGGACGCCGCCTTCATCATTTATTAGAGAGAATAGTTATAATTCAAAGCAAGCCAATTTGATTACAGCCTACAACACACCATCATCTCAAGGCAGGCTCAGCATTATTCTATCGTAGTACTTGCCAGGGGAAGTCATCTTACTCTACGTATTCGAAATGACTTCAAGATAATTTCGAGATGGAATTGTTGAATTTCCAAAGTGTTATTTGCACTAAAACCAAAGTGTTATTTGCGCTCAAGTTAGTTATCGAGAATTTAATGAGTATGCATTTTTTCGAAAAGAGAGCTTTTGGGTATAACTCAGAGTTAGTTTTTACACTTGGTCCACAGAAGAGATATCCTACAACTGTCCCAACGTTCCCATTTGACATTTTATCCACATGGGTGACGGGGGATAAACAGATTCGAATGGCCTCCCTTGGACCCCCAAGCGTACTTCGAGGGATTCATAGTACGGTGCTCAATTCATCCAAGAGGCTCATCGCCAATGTGTTTCTTTATAACGTGAAGGAGACACTTATATGTGTGGATCGATTTTCCCTAACTCACATATCTCGAGAATATTTCACCCTATGCCTCCATCATAACAGATTTATTTTGACATGGGTCGAGTTTTTCAACTCACATGCCTCAAGCACATTTAGTCATGCGCCTCCGTCGTAAAGAATTTATCTTGACGCGGATCGGGTTTCTTGACTTCACACACTTCAATCACATTTTGTTCTACGTTTTCACTATAGCAGGTTTATCTTTCATCTGTCATGGCGGGCTTCAAGTCCTCCCTCCATCGTGGAGGATTTCAAAGTCCATTCTCCACTATGGCGGATTTCATGTCCTCCCTCCATCATGGTAGATTTCGAGTCCTCCTTTCATTATGATGGATTTCAAAGTAGTTCCTCTACCATAGCATATTTTAGGTCCTCCCTCCATTGTGACGGATTTTAAAGTCTTTATTCTACTATGGTCGGTTTCAGATTCTTTTGCTATTGGTGTCTCTTAGAAATTGCCTCCAAAGAAACACTTATCTCGATCGTATAAGGAGAAAGATCGACATCCTAATTATTGGAAGAGAGAAGACATCCTAATTACTTGGAGAGAAATTGGCATCCTCCTTATAAATCTCTTTCCCCTTATGGAGCTGGACTCAATTTTTTGAACGAGCCTCTATAGTCCAAAGTTTCCATAACCTCGGGAGCTATTAGCCTCAACCCCAAGGCCTCCTTAAGAGGCATCTCGCTCCTCGCCTCGATTTTCGGCAAGGTAGGTCGATCTTTGAGTCCCTCATCCCGACATCAATTTTGTACTTCTATCTTAGGTCAAGATGTCTTTTCTCTCTCATATAAGTTCTTTTCGATTTTCTAGTCATCGATCAGTTAAGATTTGTTGGACAGTTCGAGGTTTGAGGAGGTTGTGTCCTCTTTGTCAGAGAAAGTATCTCCCATGAACCCAAGGGTTCTTTAGGACTTAGAATCCACGAGAAGTTCTCATGATTATGATTCAGTGGTGAACACACCTCTTTTGGATCACTTGCAAACTAAGTATTGTATCCCGATCATGTTCGATATGCAAGTTACTCAATCCGATCAAACCCTTTTGACCCTGCTCGTAGGTCTTTCTATATCTTGTGATGCCTTCGAGGTGGGCCTTCATCTTTCTTTTCACTTAGTGATAATGTCCTGCCTTCAACGGTGGAGATATTGTCTTTTCAAATGGCTCTCAACTCATGATGCTATATGATAGTGTTCATTGGAGAATACCAGCGTACTGATATTTCTCCAACCTACACCTTTTTTGTTGCTTATTTTCAGTCAATAACAACACCGACTCACCTCCTCGCCTGCCACCTAAATTGCTACCTCTAGTTGTTGATCTCTCCCTCTTTTATTTTTAGTCGTTTGGTCAATTTACTTGATTCATTCCTTCTGTCTACCTCATTAGCATTTTATGTTGATAAGTCGGGGCTTCGTCTTAAATGTAGAAGCCCGACCTAGCAGATGTAACTACTTTTGGAAGTATTGGAATTATTATTATTTTTTACTTTACAACTAGCACTTTAAAGATACATCTTATGATCAATACCCCAGGCCTCGTGGCCAACATCTGATACTCTGGGGTAGCCCTTCCTGGCCTACAACATCCGAGACCTTAGGAGTAAAACTTATTCAAATTTACGATGTGTCATGTTCTCGGTAATGTCACACCCTTTGTTGTCCTGAGGTAGTATGTTCCATCCTGGACGACTTCGATGACTCGATAAGGTCTATCCCATTTTGACACTAGCTTCCCTCGAGACCTCATTGGGTCACTGACCTTGGCCCTTTGGAGCACCAGGTCCCCTAGTCCAACCCCCTGAGGCTAACTCCTCGATCGTAGAGCTTGATTATCACCCTTTTGTATCTCAACACTCGTAGGTGTGCTTCGACTTCACTGATTAAGTCAAGTCTAGCTCAAGGTCCATCTTCAAAGGTTTCATTGTTAAAGCTCTCAACCCAAGGTGTCGAGAAGACTGTCTTGGGTGATAGGATAACTTCAGTGTCGAACGCTAAGCTGAATGACAATTCTCCCAAGTTGGTCTTGGGTGTCAACTTGGAGGCCCATAAAATGATTGGCAGCTCGTCCACCCAGGTGCCCTTTGCTCCAATGACCTGCTTATTTAATCTTTCAAGGATGTCCTAATTGGTGACCTCGGCAAGACCATTGGTTTAGAGATGAGCTACCGAGTCGAACCTCAGTTGAATATCGTAGGACTAGCAAAACTTCTTAAACTTCATATTGTTGAATTGAGTCATGTTGTTGATGATGAGGGCCTTTGGGATTCCGAAGTGGGTAATGATATTTTTTCATATGAATCCATTGTCTTCATAAAGTAGTATACTCCTACAACGAGGAGCCTCTGATAGCCCAAAACTAATAAAAAGGGTTCAAGGAAGTCCATTCCTCACTGGGCAAAGGGTTATGCATAATCAATTGGGCTCAAGGGGACCGTCAGTTGGTGTTGTATCTAAGTAAACTTATGACACTGGTGGCACCTCCTAATGTAGGCGATTGCATCTTTACACAACATCAATCAGTAAAACCCTTGCCAAAGAACCTTGAATGTAACGGTCTGCCCACCTATGTGCTCCCCGTGAATACATTCATGCATGTCAATAAGCACCCTTTCAACTTCTTACAATGTCATACATTTAAGGAAGGGTTAGCCGAAGGACCTACAGTATATATGGTCGTTAATTATGAAATATTATGCTTAATAATACTTGAATATTCGAGCCATTGTGGGGTTAGTAGGGAGTGTCTCATCTTTTTTAAAGCATAAGATCTCGTTTATTCAGCTTGGTTCCTCCTTTATCGTGGCCATATTGTGTCTTTTAATAGTTCAGGTCAGTAATGTCTTGACCATTAGGCAACCCTCTTCCAGAGCTCGGGTAGAGGCTAACATGACAAGTGCATTAACCTGAGCATTTTTTATGTGAGGGACCCGCAACATATTGAGTCAAGAGAAATTATGAGCTAATCATCACACCTCGACAAGGTACTTCACCATGGTCATGTCTCAGGCTTCGTAGCTCCCTTTTACTTAGTTCATGATCAGTTGTGAATCACTAAATACCGTCAAATCCTACACCTGGAGCTCTCAGGCAAGTTAGAGCCCTGAGAGAAGTGTTTCATATTTGGTATCATTATTAGAGATCTTAAACTCGAACTAGAGAACTTATTCATACACTTGCTTGTTTGGACTTTTTATGACAAGTCAAATATCGTCCCTTTCCAAGGTGGCGAAACCATCTACGAACAAGTTCATGCTGAGAGAGTGTGACCATTGACCTTGACCTCGGGCGGTAGGGTTAGCTTCGATATGAAATTCATCAACATCTAAGCCTTTATGGCAACCCATGATACGTATCATATGTCAAACTCGCCTAGCTCTATCGACCATCTCAGTAACCACTCTGAAACGTCAAATCGAGAAAGGACCTGCTTGAGTGGTTGGTCAATGATCGCTTGTTTGAGATGCGCTTGGAAATATAGATGGACCTTCCTTGCTGCTAATTCTAGCGTAAATGTCAGCCTCTCAATGGAGGGGTATTGCTCCTCGGGTTCGCTTAGTATATGACTAACATAATAAATAGGTCTTTGGATTATCGAGTCATCCTGCACCAACATTGAACTGACAGTCTACTCGATGGTAGCGGGATAAAGGCTTAGAGCTTCACTTAAAATGAAGGAGAAGAGCGATGGCAACCAGGCGAGGTGGTACTTCAACTCCTCAAATGCATGACACTTCTTAGTCCACAGGAAACCTTTTGGGTTATTTAACGTCCAAAAGAAGGGTAGACACTTGTTGTTAAACTGGGATAGGAACCTGCTAAGTGTTGTTATTTGCCCTGTTAGCTGTTGTACTTCATTTACTGATCAAGGTGGATGCATCTCCAATATAGTGTGGACCTTCTCGAGGTTTGTATCTATTCTTGTCTAGTGAATAATGAGCACACTTGGTTGGGTTGAGATGCATATTGAATCTATTCAAAAACTAAAATATCTCGATCAAGTCTGCTAGATGTGAGTCAGTTGTTCTGCTATTGACTATCATGTTGTCTATATACACTCTCATGTATCTCCCGGTCTGGTACTTCAATATCTTATTTCCCATCCTTTAGTATGTGACCCTCACATTTTTCAATTCAAATGATATAACTTTGTAACAATATATACTTCGATATATGATAAAACAACTATATTCTGAATCCTATGGTGTCATTTTTATTTGGTTATATTCCGAGAATACATCTATGAAGGTGAAGAACTTATCCCCTCGAAGAGATCAAGGAGGGCCGATCCCCTCGAAGCGATCAAGGAGGCCGATCCCCTCGAAGAGATCATTATCATCCCCATTTCTCCTCTTTCTTCCACGATAAGACTTTAGGGTCTTATCATTTGGTATCAGAGCAGCGATCCTCGGCGTTCTCGCTGTAGTTCGTCATCTCGTTC